AAACAGAAGAACTAATTGTTGATGTCGGTGACAGTGATCGTGATTCCGATGAAGACAATGAATGTGAAAACTAACTACAAAACAAACAAAAGCATTAGGTTTATTATAAGTTATGTTTCTATATTACTTCCTAGTACGCTACTGTCCTATCTGTATTAATAATTAATTACCTAACTAAAACTTTACTTTCTCTAGCGATGTGCCCCTTCCAATGTCTTGGATGCGCGCTCTCAAAATCGTAGGTAGGGAGAAAAAATCTCATTATACTCTCGACACTTGTTCATTAAACATGCTTTTTCATACAGAACCTGCCAAAAGTTTTCTTCAATCATAAATAGTAGTGCGAGTCGAAAACAAGCGTTAAAGCCTTTATTATGTCTTCAAATATAAATAAACATCTCGTTGATATTCTCAGTAGTAAATGGTACCAATAACAGCACATGTGAGCAATGCAATTGTAGTTGATGAAATGGTCAATTTTTCCGTTTAGTACTGTACGGATTATACGCTCCTCACCGGTTAAGAATTTGGCCGAGAGTTGTCTCCTTCCTTTTCTGGCCTAGTGCTGTTTTTTTCTACTTTGCGCCGGTTAAACTGAAGGTCACATCGGTACAGAAACTAAATGAAGTATATTTGTGTATCGGTTCGGAGTGATTTACCCAAATAGGCCATTAAAGGGCAAGTGCCTGTGCGACCGCTCGCCAGCTTCGTTCGTCCGACTTGTAGTGGACGACCAAATAAACAGACTAAAAACACCTAAAGTTGGAGTAAATAGTGTGTTCCCAATGACCAACCCTTTGTGCGTTTCGATATTTCTCCCGAACGTGAGCGACATTCTTTTCTAGCCAAATGCGATTCTTATTTCTCATTTGCACCGCAAGTGCAAAAGTCAGGGACCACCTCTCGATGGTTCAGCCGTACGCAAACATTTCGCTGCAATAAATGCTAATTAATGCGATCGGTTTATCTGAGATGTCAATTTTATCGTTATTGTCAGGGCTGTGCCCTGCTACTGCCACACCCTGTATATTCAAGGTTACATGTTAATTATTATCCTACACCTGTAAGTAACGTGAAATGGTAATTACTCGTATCATTGAACTAATCGTATGTGCGATAGCGACCGCGATGTCAAGACCCCATCGATTGGCGTATGCTCTTACGCAAACGAACACACGTTGGCCCGTCGCCGTCGTAGTAAAGTAATAATGAATTATAGTTCAATCAGTAATTGAAGAACAATAACACGTTTTCAAGTAAAGTTAAAACATAACAGAGTTAATTCCCTTTTTAAATTACCCAGTTATTTCTGTATCCTATTTCCCATGTTATCCTCTGCACAGGTCATAACAGATGCATTTAAAACTGTTATAATTGTTTATTTTGAGAAATAAACTTAAAAGAGACTCGCCCTAGTTATCTACCACTAAACCTACTCACCGCGGACACATGTTTCGCCCACCACCAACGTGTTGATAATGTCCACAGTGCATATTAGGAGTGGGCGAAACACGTGTTGATAGTAAACAAAATGTTAACTCTCTCAGAGTCTCTGAAAAAGCGAAACTAGAGTCTCCGTCTCTCATCGAGTCTCTTTGGTGTCGCTGAGAGAGACTATCGATAGACTGTCAAAAAAACTGTTTAGCGTCTCTGAACGAGCTACTCGAGTCGCTTATAGAGAGATCCTCATTTCGTATCTAGTTTCTGAACGAGAGACTCGAATCTCTGAATAAGAGACTCGAATCTCTCAATAAGTGGTGGTTCGATGGCCATGGTTAAAATTTTCTAGAGACCATAGTGTTCTTAATATTTACCATTATGTACAAGTTTCGACGTATAACATGCCACAATTATAAAACTTAATCGATATGATTCTTTGCAGTATTTGACTATTTGACTTGATTTCCCGAGATAAAAATGTTCAGTCTCTCGGAGTCTCTGAAAGCGAGACTCCAGTCTTCGTCTCTCATCGAGTCTCTCCGGTGGCGCTGAGACTGTCGAGAGACTGTTAAAAAACCTGTTTAGAGTCTCTGAACGAGAGACTCGAATCGCTCATAGAGAGATTCTCATTTCGTATCCAGTCTCTGAACGAGAAACTCGAATCTCTCAATAAGTGGTATCTCGATAAACGTGGTTAAAATTTTAATAGTTCAACATATTTCAGAGATCCCAGTCTTTCTACGAGAGACTCGAGTCTCTCAATTTTTCAGTTTTATTCATTCAGTCTCTCTGTGAGAAACTCGAATCTCTGAATTAACAATTTTATCGTTCTAGTCTCTCATACAGAGACTGTAAGAGATCCATAAAAACACCAAGGCAATAACTGTGAGACTGTGAGAGACGCTCTCAGAGATGCTTAAAGACTGAAAGATACTGAGAGACTGGGGAGAGACTGAAAATTTTTGACTGGGGGTTTTGTGGTAATTAGGGCGAGTCTCCTTTTAGTTCATTTATACTTTTACTACAACTACAGTATCTATTCTCTATTTCGTTTATTTTGAAGGATTTTTTTTATTTTCATACTCGAATATCCTCTGGGTGGCCTAGCTTTGAAGACAATACTGCGTGGTGGCCTGTAACTGAAGGGTAGATTTTAGCTTACAGTTAAATAGTGACATAACCTTCGTTGGTCTCTATCAGTATATCGACTCTTAAGATATACATGTATTATTGAAGGATATACACCTGAGTTACATTTCAATCGAAAATTTATTTGCTGCCTTTGAGTATTAAAAGGAGCAAAAACTTCTAAATTTATATTTTGGATATGTCCAGCAGAGAGTTTCATGTCCTTCAGTCTGCAAAACTTTAACACATACTGATTTTATGATTAACAATGATCAAAGGGATGTCTTTTTGAAGTAACTTTGGGCAATATACAACGTAACGGACATTACCGGAAGCAACGAAGCAATAATTCATTCACTGGGTGATTAATTATTTTGTTTTAAGGGCTGGAAACAGCAAAATGTTTTATTAATGTTCGTAGTTAAGTATTTACCGGAAAATTTTTGAAACAACCAAAGAAAAGTGGAATTGTCTAAAATTATTGCAGTAATATGCTAGTCATGCACATTCCCAGTAGGTACTCGAGTAAATAAAGTTTACTCGTATGATGCATGAGAACTTTTAACTGATGTTAAATTGTCCACAACACGACAGATATCCTAAAGGTGACTCCTTTATATATTTTATAATTTTTCCGATTTTATCTCCTAAATTAAGAAAGTGCAATTGAGTGCAAATTATGATATTACCAAAGACACGTTCCACCCTCTCAAGATAATTGCTACATACTATTTATGATACTCTGGCATATATTCTTACAATAGGACTAATCTGTAGAACAGCTAAATTACAAGAATATAACATTGTTACCATGTAGCCGAAAGCCAATGTTTTAATGAAGAGAATTCAGTAAACAGAATTTGCAATCCTAAGAAAAAAACTGAGAATAGGATAGGCACACAAATAAAACAAACTGAAAAAGAAAACAAACAATGACGATTTTTACTAGACATGAGAGAATTAAAAACTACCTCTTTATAAAAATTTTGAAACGCCCCAAAATTTGTCTGCAGTTATCCAGAACAAATACAGTAAATCTAACTTAGATATAGTTTTCTTATTTAGTAGAAAATATAGTCTGAAAAGGTATGATGTGTTTCCGTATTAGAAAATTTCGAAATTATTTGTTGTTTAAAATGGAATGAAGATTTTTTGACGGATCGAAGAAAAGGATGTAGAAATGGATCAATGTTTGGACATTATGACTGATAATGACGTATTTCTTGTGATAGACAGTATAGAGAATGACTAATCCCGACATTTACTGTTCCAGGTGGTCTTAAATAAACGAATAATATTAAAATCACATGAAAATTTTAGTTCAAAAATTTTAAGGACAGTAAGGGAAGGGTGTCTAAGGCTAAAATTACGGTAGATCGTGTAAGGCGAGGGGAGTTAAGAAGTAGCTAAAATAGAGCATGATGCTTTACCTGTACACACCCCCTAAATATAAATTGTAACCATCATCATCATAAGGTCATCAGTCCGAAGACTGGTTGGACACACACCTCCACTCCTCCTGAGCCAATATTCGCACATCCTTAACTATTTGCGACCAGTAATCTAATCTAGGTCTACCTCTACCCATCCTAACTCCCGTTTCTGCCTCATAATATGTATCTGACTAGACCTTTATTCCTGAGAAGGTGACCTACTAACCTATCTTGCCTATTTTTTATTGATTTTCATAGAGTCCTCTGTTCTTCTATTCTATCTAATACCTCTTCATTTCTAATCTTCTCAATCCAGGGTATCCTCATCATTAACCTTTTCTTTTCCGCCACCCCCATTGTTCACGTTTCGCACCCGTACAGCTCTGCGTTCCAAACACACACCTTTAACAATCTTTTGAATTTCGCGAGCGTAGATTTGACTTCTTTTTATTGAAGGCGACTCGACCCTGCACGATCCTCTGCTTTATATCCCTACTACTCCATCAGTCCTGACTTATATGACTTCCTAGATATTTAACATCGAATCTTTCTTCTCCTGTGTTTATATTTCCCTAGTGTTTCTTCGTTTTATTTAAAATTATCTGTAACTCCTCCTTGCTAGATGCTAATACTGCTATATCATCTGGAAATCTAAGCATAATAATCTTTTCCCCTAAATATACCTATCCCTACAGATCTACTGCCTTTAATAAGCATATTAATAACGGCATTACTTTTACCTACAAAAGACGTATTATACGACAATCGTGTGCTCCGGTTGTTGTTTTAAATAGGACGTCAGGATGAAATGAGAAACGAAGTGGATCTGCACTTACTGGTTGAGTTGTAGGTACTCCCACGTATTTTTTCGTACAGGACGAGGTGTCGCCTGGTGATTAGCATAAGCAATGGAAGCAGTTCAGTTGTTTCACGTTATGTGCACGCGTTGTATGGACTACGTCTGTAAAACGTTCTCTCCTCTTATTCTGTTTGCTCCAGGTGCCGGTGACACTTTGTTCGCTGGGTGTTGGGGCCACGTTCGGAGAATCGATCCTCCAGGACCTCCCTCGGGATACAACTGTCATCACGCAAACCACCTGTGAACTGTTGCGAGTCGAGCAGCAGGACTTCCGCCTCATCTGGGAGGTAACTGCACGCTTTTCTTTTGATTTATAGAAATTAAGGGTCAGCCGCCCCTAAAGAAGGAAACCACGTTGCACTGCTTGAAGTCCAAATGATTTGTATGAGTTATTAAACAAGCTTGTGCATACTAAAAGTAGAAATTTTGCTTTAATGGATCCAGTGGAATATCTCGTATAAAACTCGTTTTAAATTATAGAAAAATGATTCAGAACTTTTTAGGAGAAGTAGGGTCAGCATCCTACAAAATTTTGTTAATAAAAAATTTATTTTCTTTTTCTCTTTCGTGTACAAACTTCTTCCAAAAGTGACTTATGTATATGCAATGATGTACTTAAGGTATTGTAGGAATGGCTTTCAATTTGTCTGCATGAGGAATTATTGATAAAGAGCAATAATTGAAATTGATTTACAAATAAAATAAACATCAGTTTACTTTTGAGTATTAAAAGGAAAACTTATATCTCTGACTTTTAAAAGAAACATTGTGTGCTGAAATAATATCTGTTGTTGTCTATATGTCTATCCTTTTTAATTTAAAAACTAATATTCTTTAACCTGGTACGATTTAGATGTTAATCTAGTTCCCTTGCCTACACTTTCTCTATTAAAAATCACTGTAGGTTGAATCTAATTCATTTCATAAAGCCTTTTCAGCCTTGACTTGTTGTCTCTTAATACAGAGAATAAGTTAGTGAAAGTGCTTTAGTAGCTCCATAATTCAAAAACCAATTTAATTTTTAGACAGGATGGAAATAGATTGTAGGTAGTAGGTACCTAATCTATCATGAGTGACAACATTTCTTCATAACTTTCTTAAATGCTTCAGTAAATTTTTATGAGTTCGTATGAGATTGATTTGAAGTTGTATTAGGATTTAACTCATGGTTCCAAAACTTTTATTGAAATGAAGATAATTTTACTGAAACAATAAAAATAATTTTAAAAAAATAATAAAAGCAAAAGGAATGCAATATGCCAATAAAATACATCATGGACAATGTAGCTAAAGCTTTCACGACCGGGTTACGTACTAATTAAGCAATAATTTTCCTCCGCTACTTTCTACATACTCTTACGTCTTTTAAGCCTGGTTTTACTTATTCTTTTTCTATAACATCCATATTCTTTCACAGTAATGTTTTTTGTTATGAATTTGTTAAATTAAAGAAAGGAACTTTCGTTTGATGAGTGCAATTCTTCTCTCCCTTTTGTACTTTTTATCTCGTAATCGATGCACACTCTACGCTATTCGCATATCATCTGTACAGAAAATAAATTTATTTCATTATATTTAAACGAAAAAACTGAGCAATTAAGGTAACATTAGATAGACGAAATCGAAACTGGTCGATACTCCGTGATCTGTCCCACTGTCATTGACATTGAAAACATAAAATGTTCGAGTACACGACAGATGGTCGCGTGGGTGAAATTTTAAATGGATATTATCTGTAAACGAAGAACATGTGCTTTTCAACACGCACTGTTCTATTAGTTTAGTCTTTTAGTCTACCGTGAGGCTTGTGCACACAACGGAGATTATCGGCTGTTGTTATGATAAACATTTTTTTTACCAATCTAAATAAAATCACCTCTAAACCTGGATTTCAAAAAAAAAAAAAACATTATTAAGCTTTTCTACATTTACCGTATCTGCGACACAATGGCTTTATCAGGCGATGAAGTTCAGTAATTTTATATATTACATATTTTTGTAATATGGAATTTCAAAAATTGAATGCCTTAACAATTAATAAGCTGTACATCATCATAAGGTCGTCACTCCTAAGACTGATTAGACACGTACCTCCACTCTTTCCTATCCTGAGCTAATCTTCGCATTTCCCTAAAACTAGAACAACCCACATTCTTAACTATTTAAAAACTTTTGGGTGTTTCATTCCCACCAGCCAGTAATGCTGGTGGGCGGGCAGTCCCTCCGGACTACGCCGGAAGGTAGGGCGGAAGGCCCTCTTCAGCCTGCTTTCAGGAATCGTGGGAATGGGTGGGTGGTAGTTCGGTTGAGAAAGATGAGACGGACGAAATGAAGACAGAAGAGAATTAAACATTATCTGTGGAATATTACTGCCTCAGCATTTGCCTAAGTGATCCAAGGAAACCACAGAAAAACTTGGACCAAGGCAGACGGACCCGGAATCGAACCGGCGTCCTCCCGAATGCTAAGCAATGGTCTAAACCTCTAGGGTCTAGGCCTTGCCGCTCGGTAAATTATTTGCGAACAGTAATCTAATCTAGGTCTACGTCTACCCCTCCTAACTCCCGTTTCTGCCTCTAATATGTCTCTGACTAGACCTTCATGCCTGAGAAGGTGTCCTACTAACTTATCTCGCCTATTTTTTATTGACTTCCATAGAGTCCTCTCTTCTCCTATTCTTTCTAATACCTCTTCTTTTCTAACCTTCTCTATCCACGGTATCTTCATCATTCGCCTGTATCACCACATTACCACATTTCTAACCTTTTCTTTTCCGCCGCGTCTACTGTCCATGTTTCGCACCCGTACAGCAATAACCTGTACATATGTATATTGAAGATATACAGTTTTGTGTTTCTCATTTCTACGAATAAGTTGTAATGGTTCTGTAAAAAGAAGAAAACTCAACAAGTCATGCTCAATTTGTTTTTTCATTTTTAATGAATACCAGTTTCTGGTCCTTGCAAAATACGTTTTTTGGTACGTGAGTTCGGGTCCTAACCTGTTGCAAAGACATTAAATACTGAAACAGTCCCGTTTATATATAAACAGTCGTTTATCCTACAAAATGTCGTCAAACGACAACTGCATTCCATTGTAGGCGTATTACAGTTTACATGGAGCTTAATCAAAGCCTTATTAAGTCGAAAATGCATATTTTGCAGTAACCGTTTTATAAATAAGCAACTTGACCCAATCGTAAGGTTAAGGTGACTTATGAGTTTTTCATTGAAAGATTATCCATTATTTCTTCGTAACTTTTTTCTATAAATAACAATAAACAAATAAGTGTAAAAATAAATGCGCCATGTAATATACGAATAATATAAAAACACCAATACTTTTTGCTTCTATTTTCGGATAAGCGTTTTGTTAAAACGAACAACTATCTATATAAAGAAACAAAATCTTGAGACAGTCCTAAAAGTCAAACATTTTAATAAAAAAGTCAACTTACTTTTTACTACAAAATTTATTGAAAGTTATTGGAATTCTATGTTTAGCTTTCTTTTATAAAATTTCTATTTATCTTATTACCTATCTTTTAAGATACTGTAAAAGAGGACTAACAGTCTAACTACTTTGCTTCAAAGATTTGCTTGAAATATACAACAAAGGAAACGGAAATTTACTTGAAAATAGCATGACAACGCTTTTCTTTTAGGAAATAGAAGGCTTTTCTAACTGGAGGAAGAGAATTTTATTGGAACATAAAAGAAAAATTGAGCATAGAACAATGACATCGGCCTGTTAATTGAACCTGTTTAATATGCGGTCTTGTAAATAGAAATGTTGACGTAGAAAAATTGAAATGCAATATAGGAACATTAGTTTATAAAAAAAAAGACAATATAATTTACTAACTAAAACCCTTTCAAATTTTACTTTAACTTTTAGCTCAATAAGGTACGCTCTTTTGCAACCTGATTCGGCCCCGAAAATGTCGGTGTTTTCCCTAAAAAATATTACTCGGATAGCAACAGCTGCTACCATCCTATCTACGACCAAACGACTGAATATTGACGTTTACACACGCTCGACACGTCAAAACCTTTTTAATTAAAGATTCCGATTAAAGGACAACGTCCTGGATATCGGAAGTAAACACGGTACTTAGTCCTAGCCTTTAGTTAAAAAATGTAACCGAGTAGATAACTGTTTCGATTCTATAGACAATCAAAGCATCACAATAATATATGGTAATCACTCCATTACAAATATAAGAAGGCGTAGAGGGATCAAATATATTTTTTTTAAATTTCGATTTGCAACTGGATATTTCCACCTGCTACTCGAAAATTTAACTTGAAACTCTTAATGCCTATTGAATTGCATCCTAATGTAACCTAACCCAACCCCAGTTGAAGCCATGGTAATTTTAAGAAAGGACAAGGGTACTACAACACATTTCGTTCTTATTGTGTTTAGCGATTGTAACGTTATAATTACAATCAAACGAATTATAGCTTTAAGTTCAATTAGGTTATGATTATAATTTTTGGGATATGTTAAGACAACACGAAGCAATTCAATCGCAAACAACAGTCATAGTTGTCAACGAAACATCTGGGTCCAACTGTTTATTTAGACTATGATTCTTCAGCCCAAATTATCGATTCTGGCCGTTTGAGCCTATGTTCTTATGATGATATATAAATTTCAAGGTGCAAGTCGAAGTTTAAAGTTGCAAGTCGAAACTGAGTTACAAGCCGAAATTTAAAAAAAAAAATATGTATGACCCTTCTACGCCTTCGTACAAATGTGTGTACGCCAGAAATCATTGAAGTAAATACAATATAGTATTAAAAAAATACTACAAATGTCGCAGTAAACGCCATCTGTAGCACGATGCTACATTTTAGGATTACGTATGTCTGTGTTCTGTCGGAGCTGCCTGCGACGCGCTGATGAGATCCAAAAAGATCGAAATCGCGATCCGCGTCTGGCAGTTTCGACAGAATACAGACCACTTCGAATTATTTTATACAATATAGTATTAGTTTTACTAAGTTAGAACATTATTCTGTAGTGAATTTATTATTGAAACTAATGTACCTACCGATGTCAAGCTCAAAACCAGGAAATAGGAAACAAAACAAATACAGGTACAATTGGTTTCCGTTTCTTACCTTGTTTGGAAACAACGTTAATTTTTAAGAGAAGCTGCTCCATTGTTGATAAATCCGATTTGATATAAGAAGCTGTAGGTGCACTATACCATGTGAAAGAATAACAAATGAAGTTGTAGATCCCAGTGTCTGTTAATGAACACTCTCGTAGTTACTGC